GGGGGGGAAGGGAAGGGAATCGGGCTTATAACTTACCGCTGCTTCCTGAAGGGAGGATGTTCTAACCGCCTGCCGCAGCTTCGCTACCGCATGCAAGAGTTCAAGGCTGCTGTCGACCTGGAAGGAGCCACAGGATGAGAAGCAGGAGGAGACGGTTGCGACTGACCTTGTGCGAGGGCCCGCTACTAGAAGCATCGAGATCGAGGATGAAGCATGCTGTAATGGTACGGTCATGTCACCCGAAGGGAGGGGAAAGGGGAAGGGGAAGGGGAAGGGGAAGGGGAAGGGGAAGGGGAAGGGGGGAGAGGATGGGGAGGGAAGAGGTACAAGAAGGCAATGTAGAGGAGGAAGAGAAGAATGAGAAGGACAAGGTTGGAGCGATTGCAAGGGCAAGAGCATGAGAAAGAAGAAGAAAAACTCACAGAGAATAACTAGGGAGACCAGCTGGAATGCTGTGGATCTTGATAAGATAAAATCCATCGCCATCCCGCTTGCTTGATGTTGTCTCAGGTTGTTAACCGCGTTCAATGTTCCTCCATCTCCCGATTGTTCCAGGAAGCTACTCGTCCAACAAACCCTCCTGCTGTGATCGATATCAGAAATCAATCTCAAGCTCAAGTCTTACTTCCGACTGTTTACACTTCTGCTAATACCTCCAACTCAATATTCCAACCGCAATAATAGCGACCGCAACCTCACTCCTACATAGCACTACACTATGTTTTCCCTCGTCTCCCTTCTTATCGCCTCGCCTCACCTCTCTGCTTCTTTCGACTTGCCTAAACCAGCGTCTCTCCTCTCCTCTCCTCTCCTCTCCTCTCCTTCTCCTCTCCTCTCCTTCCCTCTCCTTCTCCTCTCCTCTCCTCTCCTCTCCTTCTCCTCTCCTCTCCTCTCCTGTCTCCTCCCATTCTGCGCTCTCCCGCCTGTTTCAGCAACATTGCCTGCCATCTTCTATTTCGGCTCGTTGGTGGTCTGAGAGGGGATGAGGCTCATCTCCATGAGAATAGGGTATGAGGGGGATGATGTGATTATGAGGATGAGAACAAACGGGACGAAAATGAGACGATGCTGTAGCAGGGGGCGAGAGCGAAGGGGAGGGGAGGGGAGGAGACGAGACGGGGAGGGGAGGGGAGGGGAGGGGAGGAGAGGAGAGAGTATGGGAAAGGATGGGACGTGCACAGCAGCGATCACAGGATGCTTGAAGTGGATTAGAAACTTTGATGAAGGGAGCGACAGACAGACAGGCAAATGCAGCTGAGAACAAACGAGGAGGGTAACATGGAAGGAACAGAAGTGAGGGAGGGACAGAGCAAGGGTGCTTTGCCTAGTATCCCTGCCAACGTTAGTCCATGCCACGCTGATTTGCTGCACAGGTTCACAATGGCTGCAAGTAGAAGTCACGAAATGGAAACTTTACGGTCAGGAAACGCAGCAAACGGAGGGCAGCAGACTGGGGACGACGAGGCCGTTGCTCGTGCTCTGCAGGAGGAGTATGACCGTGAGAACAGAGAGCTAGCTCAAGCGAGGATGCATGCGCCTCTCCCAGACTACCGACGAGCAGGTTACCAAGACCCGTCGTACTCGTCTCACGACCCCCCCACCATTGTTCATGTCGCTGCTCCTCCCCCCCCTCTGTCCTCCTGATCCCTCGCACACAGGTAGCCTGTTCAACCTGCAGGGACATCAACGCGATCCCTTTCTCCCCTGCCCCTATCGACTTTCGCTGCTGCCGCTGCGGTGAGTGCGCATGGAGGGTCAGTGCTGCAGGGGCTGATGGGCAAGACCCGCAGGCTTTCTCAATCGCTACCATCCTCCCCGCGCTCATCGCGCCTACTACGATCACGTCTGGCCGGCACCCGTGCTGTGCACTATCAGCTGAGAGGGTGTGCTGGGGGTAGTTGGGGATAGGCGATGTTTGTGCAACAGCTGGAGGTCGAGACGACGGGGAGAACAAGCGGGCGAGGTGAAGTGCCGTGTCAAAGACGATGCAGTCTCATAAGGAACCTCGTCAATGGTGTGTTAGTGTAGTCCATGGTGTGTAACGTAGTCAATGGTGTGCGTTTGAACGAGGTAGTTGTTTGCTATGGAAGAAAGAGCTGATCTGCCGGCGTGAGGAGAAACAACAACTGCTGCATGCTAACATGCAAACATTAAAAATCTTCATTTTGATTATCTAAGCTAAATTCATAGAGTTGAATATCTTCTCCCTTGTGCTGCCATGACGGCGAGAGAAGTTGAATATAAAGAGGTCGTAGCAAAGAAGAAGAGGAGGGAGGGAGGGAGGGAGGGAGAGAGAGAGAGAGTCGGGAAGGGGAGGGAGGGAGCAGTGGAGTGAGCTATGCATATCTCTCATCGACAGGCTGGATATCTCCTCCTGACACGCTCGCTGTATCTGCCTTGGCCGTGTCCTCAGTGAAGCACATCTCCTCCAGCGCGTCCATGCGAGTTGTGATCTCACTGATGCGACGGTCGAAGCAAGCGCGCAGCGAGTCATGCTCCGCTCTGATCAGCTGCTGAATAGCAACAAGAATGTCCCCGGAGCTTCCGTGACTCTGCGCCTCTTCCTGTGGTCCCCTGCCCTCCCAGGTCGGAACTATCTCTTCCTCATCGGGGATTGGCTTCTCCGCGATGACCTCAAACTTGCCACGTTGAGTGTCGTGCTTGCCGAAGATGGATGCAAACTTGAGCTTCTGAACCGTCTTGATCAGCAGGTCTCTCGTGCCATCCGTGTGAAGCATGTGGCACTTGGCCTTGCGGAAGAGATAGAACCAGCGGATGGCGACGGAGGTAGGAGGATCATCCGAAGCAGCCTGCTCCTCCCGCAGCTCCTTGAGGTCCTGCGTGAGAGCCTCGATCTCCTCGTGGATGTGTCCAGGGAATGACTGGAGCAGCCGCATGAAGTCTTCTTTCAAGATGTACATGCAGACTACAGATGTCAGAGCACAGAAGTCGACCTCCTGCCCGTGCTCTCCCCTCCATGTTGTCTCCCCGAGGAAGCTGTTCTCTCCGAAAAAGTCGCCAGCGTTGAGTGTGGAGACGATTGACCCGGAGGGCAGAACGACGCTGACGCTGCCGTGTGTGATGATGTAGAGACGGTCACAAGCGTCGTCCACCGTTGCGATGGGCATGAAGCTGCAGAAAGTGATGGGCTGAGCAAGAGAGAAGAGGTTGAGGAGGAACTGATCGCGGTGGATGTCCGCCAGGTCTCGGAGGAAGGGGATCCCATACAGCATCTCCTTGTGCAGGTGATCGAAGATGGGCATGCGGAGCTGAGGAGGGATGAGGGAGAGAGCTGCCTCCCGCTGGTTCCTCCTCATCTTCACCATATAGTCGAGATCCACCCACTCCAGCACGCGCCTGCTGACAGCCTTGGGGACGTTGGTAGACCGCAGGAAGTCCTTCACGTCATGGTGCACCTGGTCGCACTGCTTCTGCAGGCGGAACGCGTGCATGTGCGCGCTCTGAACCTCCGAGAGCATGGTGCCGAAGACCATGACGCCGGCGTACATGGCGATGATGGTGAAGAGCCTCTCAGCTGTGTTCTCAGGGGTGATGTCGCCGAAGCCAACTGTGGTGAAGATTGTGTTCATGAAGTAGATGGTGAGGACATACTTCTCGAGCAGGCCAGAATAGCAGTTGAGGTTGTAGTGGGAGAGGAAAAGACAAATCTCGTCCTGGCTGAAGGTCATCTCCTTGATAAGCCAGTAGATACAAGCACAACTGTGCACGAGCAGCGAGATTCCAGCGAGCATACTGAACATCCTCATCATGAACCCTGGCAGTTGAAAGAATTCCTCGATTGAGTCGAGGATGAGACGAATCTTCTTCATCCTGAACATCCTCGACAACTTCAGCAACCTGAGAGGTTTTATGCACCTCATGATTAGGAGGCTGTTCATGTTGACGCTGGTGCCGGAGCTTCCGCATTCTTTTACCGCGAAATATTCCACATACGAAGAAGGGATGGACGTGAATACATCAAAGATGAAGGCATGAGTGACGTAATTCCAAGCAACCGCCCCCAGTGAGTCTGCGTACACGCCTTGAATCTCAACCCCAGTGAAGAAAGTCAAAAAGATCTGGAAGACAAAGAAAGTGTCCACAAACATGTCGAAAGGCAGCGTGGGAGAGCTCCAGCAGTCAGGCGCATTCCAGAAGAAGCTGACAGTGACTTGCACTACAATGGCCGTGTAGAGCAGGAGGAGCGAAGAGACCAGAGAGACGGTGTAGTTGAAGGGAGACTCCGGGTGAATCAGTCGCGATGCTTTCAGATTCCCCTGACGATCTCCGATGCCTAGGAATCTCCAGAAGACATTGCTCTTGGAGGGAAAGTAGTCGTTCTTGGGAACTCCCGTAAAGCTCACGTTGCTCCTCCTCCTCACTGAAGAGCCGGAGCGCAAACCCGATCGGAACATCTCGATGGCTTTCGAGGTCGTCCGTTTGAGATCTCCATTGAGGCTGTTGCTTGAAGCGGAGCGTGGCAAGCTGCCTTGCGACCCTCTGTCATTCGATTTGAAACTGTCGAAAACATTCTTGCTTGAAAATTGGAATGCTCGACTCATTGCAAAAGATTATGATGGGACCCACGCCTTCAAAGTTTCACGGGCTCATCCCCCCACCCTCTAGTAAATGGCTGTTTCGGTTCAAACACTCAAGATTTTACGTGAAACACCTGAAGAAAAACGCAAATCAAAGAGCGATATCGAGAACTTCTATCATTACGACATCTACTTGGTATGCATCAAAGCCTGTCTCAGTAAGGACCCTGCATCCATCTGAATCCCATTCTCATCGTATTCCAGTAGAACTTCCTCCCATTCAAACTCATGCACGCACACTCCACTCATCCCCTCGCCGTCTGGTCCCCTTCCAACTCTTGGTCCGTGTCTTCTTACGGTGAACCTTCAACGCTCCTCCTCCCCCATCCATCCTATGCTAACTTCAACTTCATCTCTCACTGAATCCTTCACATGCTCTGTCCATCTCTGCCCCCCTGTGTTTCTAACAGCCTTCCCCTGTTGCCCTTCGTGCGGCATTACGATAAGGCGGCATTCAGGTCATGGACGCTACAACTATTTTTAGAAGGTTATAACATTTTTGCTTTTTATGGATAAAATTTGAAATTCTGAGGTAAATTTCAAAGTTTATGAGGAAAGTCTTGAAGGTTCCCACAAACCTCCTGAAGAAATTTTTCCGTTTCCTGTGGGGGTGGTGACCACTGAGTGGGTAGTCTATCCGATGACCCCACCGTTCCTATGACATGGAAGGCACAGATATGCGATTTGACATGGGTGGGGTACTAAAAAAAAACTAGGTTTCAGGGGTACGATGATTTGGGGTAGGTAGGGGTAGGGTGAAGAAGTCCTGGACTCCGTTGGCCTTGCTTTTCATAAAACAGGTTTTACAAAGATATTAGTTTTAAAACCTCTTGTCTGTAAAATTCAGCATTGGTACTGCTACCCCTTGTGGTAAACACTGTTCACCCACCCTCCCTTGGTACCACCCCCTGTAACCTATGGGTAAACCACCTAACCATGACGGGGATTTGATTCAGGACTGAGAGGGCGGAAGGGTGGGACCTGCTAGAACTAAAGTTTTAAAAGGGTATTTTGGGGCAAACACTCCCTTCGGATTGAGCCGATTGGGGGTGGTACACGGAACTTGCTAGGAGGGGTGGTTTGCAGTCCATAATATATAGTGAAGGTTACCGTAGGGTGATCATAGGGTACCAAATGATTTTCTTAGATTCGTGGGTAGGGTAGTGTCAGACTTGACAGGGGAGGGGGAGGGGGTCATGCTCGTGACTTGAGTAGTGGGGTGGGACTACTCTTGGAGCGGCAAAAGTACCTTCAGACCCCACCCTTTACCTCAAAAATACATATCGAAATAGGGGTGGGTAGGGAGGGGGTCATGTTGTGCAAACCGGATTCGGAATCATAGGGAGGTACGTGACTATATGAACGTGATAAAATTGAAAAGAGATCTTTTCAACTCGGTCCCGGCCAAGCACCGAAGCACGAATACGAATTTTCAAACCACTAGCTTGAATTTCAAGTTTTCTACAAACTTTTCACACGAAAAATTCCATACTAACCTTTTCAACGGATCGGTGCCTCGGAGCCTCGGAGTGCCTTGTGCGGCGGCCCATGACTCCGGGAGTGAACCCCCGGGCCCGGCCGGGCCGGCACCAGGCGGGGAATCTGCGGCAGCCCGGGCCGAGTCCGTCCGCTCAGAGCGAGCCTCGGAGTTGAGCACTGTGACTGAGCCGGCGGCCCCGGGCCGACGGCGGCCCCTCACTGCCATGAAACGGGCCGCCGGCTCCGCACCACTCAGGCTGATCACTGGCAGCCCGCAGCGGCGACTCCTGACTCACTCAGCGGCTCAGTCAGTGAGTCACAGTGACTCAGCTGGGGCCATCCGAAAGTGACACTGCAGTCCTACAAGCTACTTTTGATGTTTGCTGCTACTGAAACGAGTGCGTGACGGTGCCATGATCTTGAGTACTCAGCACAAGTTTGTTGTTTCGACTTCAGCTGCAACAAGACAGTTTTTGCTCAAGGCCGAATCGTAGCATAGAGGATGTGAAACCCAAGCATCCAGACATGAGAGGACCTTAGCAAGACGGCCAGGAAGGCCTCCTCCGAGGCTTCGTCAAACGTACCAGGCTACATTGCGATCTGATCGGACCCGACTGGCACGGCAGTGGAATGCGATCCATCGTACGGCCCCCACGAGTTTCTGAAATTGTACATCGGACGTCAGAAAGTCACACAAATTGAAGAGAATGTCAGCAGAGTTCCAAGTCAAGATACGATGAGACTGCGTCAAGTTCGCAGTTATGCTGAGTGTGCAATAACCGTTCTGGAAGGATTGTCCATTCTTGAAGAAGATTTTCATGCAGGGCTGTTAGATGTGCAGCAAGAGTTAAGGGAGATGCCTGGCGAGCGGATGCAGTGAAGAGATAGAGGATCAGCCTCCTGCCTGCCGGAAGTCGCCGGTCGCTGGACGTACTAGGACGCGAGATACAATCACACGTTATACAAGTACACCATCCTACAGGTCATGAAAGTACACCATCCTACAGGTTATACAAGTACACCATCCTACAGGTCATACAAGTACACCATCCTACAGGTTATACAAGTACACCATCCTACAGGTCATACAAGTACACCATCCTACAGGTCATACAAGTACACCATCCTACAGGTCATGAAAGTACACCATCCTACAGGTCATAAAAGTACACCATCCTACAGGTTATACAAGTACACCATCCTACAGGTCATGAAAGTACACCATCCTACAGGTTATACAAGTACACCATCCTACAGGTCATGAAAGTACACCATCCTACAGGTCATACAAGTACACCATCCTACAGGTTATACAAGTACACCATCCTACAGGTCATGAAAGTACACCATCCTACAGGTTATACAAGTACACCATCCTACAGGTCATACAAGTACACCATCCTACAGGTCATGAAAGTACACCATCCTACAGGTCATGAAAGTACACCATCCTACAGGTTATACAAGTGCACCATCCTACAGGTCATGAAAGTACACCATCCTACAGGTCATACAAGTACACCATCCTACAGGTCATGAAAGTACACCATCCTACAGGTCATACAAGTACATCATCCTACAGGTCATACAAGTACACCATCCTACAGGTCATACAAGTACACCATCCTACCTCTCAACAAGTTACAGCAGGGCAACAACATCCGATGATCTCCTTCCATGTCGTCTGCCTCCACTCCGACGACGACGACAATGACGACGACGAGCAAGCCGTGAACAGGCGGATCGGAGTCGGACGAGGATCCTTGCGGCTTGACCCGACGGGTCAGCTACAGAGCTTGTGCGAAGAGGGAGCAGCAGCAGTCGAAGGAGGAGAGAAGTGAAGTTGCGGTTCCTTTTTGCTTGTATGAAGCTACTGAAACCCTTCACAAGTCTCACTGTCGCGCTCTCACTGCCTCCAGCAGGAGCAGGAGCAACCGGGTAAGTTGGACTGCCCGCAAGGAAGTAGGAGGAGGATGCATGCAGGAGAAACTACTTGATGTGGGACCCTTGAAGCTTGGAGATGGCCATTGCTCGCTCAATCTCCCCCTGCTCCTCTCGTCAGCTCCTCTCGTCTCTCCTCCTCTCCTCTCCTCTCCTCTCTCCTCCTCTCCTCTCCTCTCCTCTCCTCTCCTCTCGTCTCTCCTCCTCTCCTCTCCCCTGTGCTGTGCAGTCCGCTCCTCTCCTCTCTCCTCCTCTCCTCT